TGTCACGTGGGCGCCGCGCCCCTGGGCAAACCGAGGGTGAGGCCGGGACCGCAGGGCCCTGTGACCTTAGTACTTGGTTGAGCTTCAGTAACCTAAGCTCTGAAGGCCGGTAAGCGCTTGTGGACATAAAGACGGCTGAACCGACCCGTTAGCCTAGAACAGTGGTCCGCAAAACGCTGCTGGGGAGCCACATGCGGCTCTTTGGCCCCATGAGTGTGGCCCTTCCACAAAACACCATGTGTGGGCGCGGGTACAGTGCGATTGAAACTTCGAGGCCCATGCGCAGAGGTCGGTTTTCGGAAAGGAGACGAAACAGGTATACACGACGGGTTGGATGGGAGAGGAGTGTGGATGGGAGAGTTGGGAGGGGTCGACCTCAGCGAACGTCCCTCAATCAGATTGAGGACGTTTTTAGCAAAGGCCACTTAGGAGTCCCCCTAATTAAGTTAATAACAATGTTCCTACCCAGATAGTTTTAAGTTTAAAAAATTTCGCTCTCAAAAGTAATTTCAATTGTTGTCCTGTTGATATTTGGCTGGTGGCTAATGAGTTTGCCGACCACTGTCCTAGAAGAGCCGAACACCCGACCACCCGCGTGCCGAGTTGCATCAGAAAATAAGCCAGAAGCCACGTTGCTGCTCAACACCCGCCTCCTCGGTGACGCTGACCGTTTGGCGAGTCCAACAGTGGCCCCTACGATGAACCATCTGAAAGCTGGGGGTCAGGAGCCCGGTGTGTCTGGGTGTCTCGTGCAACCCCGGGAAGCTCCCGTCCCGACGCCACATGAGAAAGTGGCCAGCCCCAGTCCCCCCTCCCCCCACAGCTCAGGCAACTGCACGCACACACCCTCTTGGTGCTGCAAAGCCGGCAAATGTGTAAGTGCTCTGGTTCCTCGGTGGGGTAGGTGATCTTCGGCTCTCAACCTTCCTAATGCCACGACAGTTCCTTATGTTGTGGTCACCCCCAACCATAAAATTATTTTCGTTGCTACTTCATAACTGTAATGTTGCTACTGTTATGAATCGTCATGTAAATATCTGCTATGCAGGATGTATTTAGGCGACCCCTGTGAAAGGGTCATTCGACTGCCAAAGGGGTCTCGACCCACAGGTTGAAAACCGCTATTTTAAAATTTCATGTACAATCCCTCGTGATATAAAGTAGCTTTAAAAAACTTCCTCCAATTACTATAAATGCTGCTTAAGTGAACAGGAAGAACTGAAAGTCGGAACCATAGAAGACAAGCCCGAGAACTGGGAAGCCCTCCACTGCCCACCAGGCCCTCTGGCCAGAATCGCCGTATTTTGTGTTATTTTTTTTTAATTGATTTCAGAGAGAGAAGGGAGGGAGAGATAGCAACATCAATGATGAGAGAGAATCATGGATCACCTGCCTCCTGCATGCCCCCATGGGGATCGAGCCCACAACCCAGGCCTGTGCCCTTGACCAGAATTGAACCTGGGACCCTTCAGTCTGCAGGCCGATGTAGCCACTGAGCCACACAGGTCAGGGCCAGCATCACTGTTGGAAGGCCCAGCAGATAAGGGTCCCTAAGAGCCAACAGCTGCTGGCTGTCCACACTGCAGACTCCCCGAGATGCAGCCCGACACTCGGCGTCGGAGACCAGCAAGCCCAGTGAGGGTCCGAGCAGCCCGTTCACAGCACGGTCTTTATGACCCCCGGCCGGGACCTGCCCCCCGCTCAGCTGTTCTCCCACCCCCAGAGGTGAAGGACGTGGTCATAGAAGGAGCAAGTGGCCAGCAGGTGGATGTTAGGGTCTGCTTCCGTGCCCGAGTCACAGACACAGATCTTGGTCCTGGGGCTGTGCAGCTGGCTGCTGCCCTCCCTCACGTCCTCTGTGGACGGCTGGGGAGAAGTCCTTTCCTTGCTTCCGCTCCTGTCGTCTGTTAGACTCCCAGGACAGGGAGGTCCCGGCCACTGGTCTCCAGCCTCGTCTTCTGTTGCGGCTCCTGGGTCGCTGCCGGACCAGGACCCCGAGTGGGATGATGGCTCGGTCTCAAGCAGGCGGCAGAAGGTGAGCCAGGACCAGTCGGCTCCGTACAGCAGGGATCTGGGCAGCGTGTGGGACACGGAGATGGCACACATGTCCTGCTGCGTCTCTGGACAGAGACAGAACAGGAAACGCAACGTTAGGCAGAGCCGGTCTGAACCCCGCCGCGGCCCTGCCCGCCCTCAGTCATGCGATGTGGACAGAGGCGAGCCGACCCCAGGCGTGATGCGCCCTGCACCTGAGAGCAGTCCACCTGAGAGCAGTCGGCGAGGCTGGAGGACAAAGGAGAGAACGGGGCTCCCGTGAGGAACCACACACAAGGGACTAGGGGACCGCCTGGGGCGTGCGACCAGGCGGGAGGGTCACCCCGTCAGCACGCTCAGCTCGGAGAGTCTGAACACGAGCAGTTTCCTGGTGGTGAGTTGCTATGGCAACTTGGAGGCTGGAGGTGGGACTGGGAAGAGGCCCGGCCTCCATCTGGAGGCACAAAGCTGCAGGTCTGAGAGCAACACGACCAGAAGAAATGAGCGGTCTCCAACCCCGAGGGGGTCCCGGGTCCAGGGCAGGGCCGGGGCTGGCAGGAGCCGCTGGGGAAAGCCAGGGCCAGTGAGGGTGTGAGCACAGAGCGCCGTCACCAGCTGGGAAGTCACAGCCCCGGAAGGGTGGCTGCTGCCGCCTCCCACGCGCAGGGGTCGGGCACAGCGACCTGACTCACGATCAGAATGCGCAAGGACGAAGCAGGGCCACACAGGCCAGGGCGATGTCTGGCGATTCCCCGGACCTGCCATAGCACACGCTGCAGGAAGGCCCAGCAGAGCTGGCGGAACCGGTGCTGGTTCTGCCCATAGTGAGGGTCAGTGAAGCATGTTTGGGGCCCCAGGCCACGCAAGACCACACTGCGCCGGCAGGAAGAACAGGCAGAAGGTGGGCCAAGCGTGGTGAGGAACGTGAAAGTGCGAAGGCTCCAGCCACAGAGGTCCCCAGCAATGCAGAAGGTTCCAGAACACCCCAGCTGGTCAGGGAAGAGCTGCAGCGCAAGGGCCCAGTGCTCGCAACTGCGACTCGGGGCGACCACAGCCGGGCCTGGGACCCTAGGGTGTGCGGGGCTTGGTGCCTGTGGGCAGGAGCTGGGAGCCCACTCACCTGTGGCCTGCTGGCAGTCGATGACACTGAAGCCACCGTGCATGCAGGCCGCCAGGAGCAGGTGGCTGTGCAGGGGGTGCCACCGGAGCCTCCACACGCCGCCCTGCATGGGCACGTCTGCGAACGGCTGCTTCATGTTCCGCGTGTCCCACAGCAGAACGTGCTCGTCATAGCTGAAACGCAACAACAGGGCCCCAGTGCGGGCACGTCTCCAGGGAGCCCGCCCCACGCACCAGGACCCGGGACCGAGCCCCCGCCCACACCCGCACCCGGGCCCCATGGCCCCATGGTAGGAAGGACCCAGGAACCGCCTCACCTCCCCGTGGCCAGGATGCCCTCCTGGTGGGGGTTACTCTGGATGCTGCACACCCCCATGCGATGTCTGTAACCAAAGGGCAAGACCTCAGCAGGCGCAGGGCAGGCGGACGCGGCGCTGTCACAGCCTCTGCCGGCCCCGGGCTTACCTCCTGCTGGTGAAGGTGGGCTCGCCGGGTGCCCTGGTGTCCCAGCCTCTCAGCAGGCTGTCGTCCCCACCTGTGGGAGAGAAGCACCACTGACGAGGGCCCTGGGGCAGCAGGTGGCCGTGTCTCGGAGGGAACTCGAGTCTGGGGGCGACTTTTCCTGGGGTTTCCGGTTGCCACCAGACTGAAGAGCACCCCTGAGCCACAACTGCCTTCAGACTCCGGCGCCTGCAGGGGAAGAAGGGACGGCTGGTGAGGAGCCAAGCAAGATGGGCCGAAGGAGCCGCGGCCAGAACCTTGGCAGACGGCTCTGGGGCGGGGGTGCCCAGCTCCTGGGTCTGACAGAACAGCCGGCCTCTCCCCCCAGCCGCGACGGAGAAGGAATAGGTGGGGTATTTGCGTCCTGCACACCCAGCCGCTCCTCTCCTGTCCCCCCAGAGACCAAGGCCACCGCCTCCGGGGAGAGACCCTGCCTGGGTCAGAGGCTGCACAGGCCACCGTTCCCTTCTCGCCCCCAAGTCGCAGCCCCAGGAAGCCGACCCACCTCTCCCTTTCCCCTTCATTCAGGAAGGTAACCCCCCATAAAGGCAGCAGCAACGCGAAGTCCAGCTACCAAGCCGGCCCGGGACTCACAGCACCGCAGAGGCAGGGCTCCCGCTGCCACCGCCCG